GGGGTATATTAGGAGGAAACATGTGACATTGGTTGAAGCCAGAGAGTTTAAATAGATAGCTTTCTAGTTAGGCTATATGTATGGCATCTAGTGTAGAACCCCTAGCATAGCACTAATGCTTCAGGCGGACTACTTAAATAGGCAACCAAAAGTTATATATGTAACTAGCTGTACTCTCGTGATACTGATGTAATATGTAAGCCAGTCTTCGGATATTGACCCACTCGTTTAAACTAATAAAGTGCCAGAGGCCTAAGTAGTCACCTCAATATTAAAAAAAAAAAAAAAAAAGATTATTGATGTAGTGCTTTTTAGTTTTTTTTTATATTAAATTTCAGTTGCAGTATTGCAAGATTTGGTCTTATTTTTTTGTGATCAAACCAACTAACCAACTTGGTTGCATTAATTATATTATCATCATCTAGACAGATATTTTGAACTTGACATTCTTTGGCAAATTTCTTTCGATTCCAACTTAAACCTTGCTCATCAAAAAGCTTTTCCAGAGCAGGATTATCAATCTTTCTTCTTCTTCGTAGTGGCAGAAATAAAACAATTTCAGCATTTTTATTCTGTGAATTTGACTAGAAAATATCATGTAGCAATAAGAAAGATATTTAAAGTTTTTCTTAAATCAAAACATATGAAATTTACTTATATAGTCTAATACACTTTTGCATTTGTTATTTCAAATTCTTTTAGTTCAAAGCTGTTCAACAGAATGTGGTATATTCATATTTTTAATAGCCATAAGGAGGACCAATAGCTTAATTTTTAATATAAATTAATACAAAATTTATTATTTAATCAAATATATAATACTATAAGAGAATTATACTTACATTTCTTGATTTGAGTTGAATAGAGGAAGTAATTGCTAATTCTGAAATATTATTACTAGAGCTTGGCATAAGTATTGAATCTTGATCATTACAATCTTTCATCATAATAGATAACTTATTCGAATTATCAAGATTGGTTTCACTATTATTTAAAGTAATTGTTTCAATATCTTTATTAGACATATAAGTATCATGATAATTATTTAATGCCTAGAAAATACAGTATATTAATTAGTATACTATAGTACTGAGTATTAATTTGACCTAAATAATTAAATATACTTTATCTTCAATAGCTATTTGATTCTTTGTTTTAATATTAACTTTTGACAAGCCAACAGTAGTATGTTTTCATTTTAGAAGTTCACTGGACCTATAAGGATCTTTTTTATTAATTTGCTTTGCAGTTGAAAAAAAAATATTATCTCTATTTTTTTGATGCTTGCACAAAATTTTCGCAAAAGCCTTTTTATTAGTTCTATTATAGATTACTCTATTTTTCATATTAGGTGATATTGTTCGTTCTTTATTTCGAAAATATTGAACTAGCTCATTTTTTATTTGATCAACTAATTTTTCATCTGACTTTATAGATACATAAATGCGTGCCACATAACTATGCTTATAGAAATTACAAAATGATCCATGCCAAATAAAATCAAGGCAAGTACATTCACCAGTAATATAATTAACTAAGTAATAATCAGGATGTACTAGAACTATATACTTTGCTGCAAGCTTTCTAATCATCTTTAATATCCCTTGAGCTTCATTATTTTCAAACTTAATTTTATCTGCCGTATATGGTAATCGGAAAGTGTTTTGCTGTGAATTGCTTATACATATATAAAATAAGTTTTGATTGTTTGAAACTTCAATAATATAGTTTTGTAACACTTTCAATTTTTCTTGGTTAATACGATATACTATATCTGGTTGTGGTCTATACAATCTATTTTGATGCTCAATAGTATGTGAGTTCCAATATGTAACAAGCCCTGCATTAAAAACTAACTAACCACAATTATTTGTAAGGTTTAAACAAACAACTTTAATACTATAAAGTTGTTCAATAAAGCTTAACACTGTTTGAGTACCTGAATATCGCTCTTTAATAGTTCTGTTTATTCATTCAGTAAAATTATTAGTAGTCCATGGCCTTACCTTCATAATCTAGTAAATGCCCACCATCTATAAAGCCAAGAATCCACTCTTGACTTATCCAATTCTCTTCAAGATCATGTACAAAAAATGCTTATGCTTCTATAGAAATTGGAAGTGAAAATATAAAAGTTTTAAATTCAATAGCCATTTTTTTGGCTTCAAATATACTTCTACATCTGCCAACAATCTTAAATGCCAATGCTATTGGATAATTACATAATAATATAGTATATATATAAGTAATATAATTATAGTATTATATAGTTAATATAATTAATTATTATATATTACTGTAGACTCCAATCAATTCTTTGTATTCAAAAATGATTCCTGAAAGTCTGCATTATATGGAACCAACAAAGAATTGTATCATGAATAATAGGTTTCAATGCAGCTTTTGTTAGTTAATGTTTGTTCATTACTGCAAAAGGTTTCTATTTAATTGCACATGGTCGTATGCATTTAAATCCTTTATTATTTGATAGTGTAATATATTCATATAGGTGTTCACAGCTTGTGTTTTGACAAAGTATATTTGCTTTTATTGCTTCGACAGCAAGTCTTATTATATACATGTTTTCCTTATTAGATAAAGCAAATCCTATAGGTGTATCCCAGTTTCCACAATCTTCTACTACTAAAGCATAAATAGGTGCTCAATCATTATTAAGATCATACTTTGCATCAATACCAAAACAGAATGAACCATAATTGCGTGCTTGTTCTAACAACATATTATCACTTACAGTAAGTTGATAATAATGCTGTAGTGAATTCAAAGGTGCAGTTTGATCTTCTTGTTGATAATAAAGAACAGAGCCATTTTTTTTAATTTATCTATAATTAATCCATGTAATATAGTCCATGAACCTATATCACCACGAATATATTTATTGTTTCATTCTAATAGTTGTTGAAGTTTTTTTCATTACAAATGTTGGTTTCATTTTTTTCTTCTATCTCTAACTGTTTTTTTGATACACTATTAAATGGAGCTAGAAGTTTGAGTTTTACTTCTTTCGCAGTACACCCATTTGCTCTCTGACTTAAAATAACCTGATCTCTTATACTTCTTCTTAGATTAAGACGTGTAATAGCTCCTTCATGTTGAATAGGAATATTCATAGATATGTGCTGACCTTCTATATATAGCTAAACTAGAAATCTCTCTGCAACTATACTAAGTGTAACTCTAGTAATTATACAAATTTTGTATTTATACATATCAGTGCCATTTTTTAAATTATTTTTCATCTCATAATTTGAACAATTAGATATACAACTTCCAAATCTACCACAATCTTGCTGACAATTATCATCACTCACACAATAAAAAACCCAATACCAAACACAAAAATCTGGAGCCAAGCTTTGCCAAATTTGAGCAACCTGCATTCGACCCTTTTCTGTAAGTTCAAGTATATCATCTAAATGATTTGTTGATTTTGTCATACTATTGATAGTTGTCCAGCCTTTAAAGTCAATTACACCTTCTTTGCATTTAAGAATAACAAAGTTTTTTTGAATTGCCTGATTTACCTTTTGTCGGCTTTGGTATTTGAAACATGCACCTTTTACAATTAGTAGTGACAAAACATATGTCTCAACAGCACGTCTGAATAGTAGACCAATACTTCTATCTGAATTTATTTGATGTAATGTACACATTAAAGCTGTACTTAGTTAATAATGTTGTATATCATTGTAGAAATAAGTAATTAGCCACTTGATCTAATTGTTATTATTATTCCTTTACTAGATAAGATTTAATTTTTTTGCCAATGATTGTTCTTCAACTAATTACTAATATTTATCTTTGTTTTAAATATACTGCTCTTTCTACTATTTTATTTCTTTATACTTGCTTGAGGCTCGCTTTTAATTGTTCGTTTGTTAGATAATTTTTTAACTTCTTTACTTTATTTATTGATTTCTCTTTTAGTTTACTACTAATACCATCTTCTTTATCTTCAAATGTGCCAACTTCTAACTACTCTTTTAATTCCAAATACACCACCACCTTTTATACATTTTATCTTTATTTCCAAATACCCACTTTTTTATATTCAAACATACTATCTTTATTTCCAATGATACTGGCTTTATAAGCTTCCGTCTTTCTTAACTGTGTACTTTCTCAGTCTACTAATAAGACACATTTTTATAAATATACTGTCTTCTATATTCTTTTGATTTAATAAGAGATGTTTTTTATTATTCATTTTTAGGTAAAATTTATTTTCTGCTACTTTCTAGTTTTTCACTATTGACACCTCTACTCCTTCAACATATACCTTCTTTGGAACCTTGTTGGTAAATTAAGCAAACTTCTTTCTTATTGTCATATTGTAATCTATAACTACATATTTATATAATTTAATATTATCGTTATCATCTATAATTTCATATTTATACAATATAAACTCCAATCTATAATTTCATAAATTATTGCTTAATCTATGACTTCATATTTTATACAATTTATATTCAGATCTGAAACATTTTGTAATTTTATGATTTAAATATATGTTCGTGTAATATATAATCGAAGAGTATAATATTCATGCAACATATAATCGAAACAATATTAGTGTAATACATGATCAAATATTTGTATAACTTATTATGTAAATCAGTCGCATAACTGAGTTGGTTACAAAAAAAAGGGCCTGTTTTGTTGAATCAAAAAAAATGGACTCCATGAATTAAAAAAAATGGGTTTACCTATCTGGGAGTCAAAAATATTAGAATTTTATTTTATTTTGTTTATTTGTTTTTTAAGGTGAGATCTTGTCTCATATTATTTATTAGGTATATGTATATATAAATTACATATATTTATACTACAATTAATAGAATAGTGGCTTAGACTAATTATTTATAATCTATACCTACCAGAACCATCTATGTCCTACTCATATATTACCTAGATTTTGTGTACTACTAACTAAATATCCTATTCTAATCTAATATATTCTCTATATTTCTCATACTAACAACCTTACACTTCCAATATAGTTTTAGTGTGGTATCTGTTATAGCTCACAAGGAGGCACCAGGCAAGCACAACCTTATAGCTACTTTCAAATTAGTGTAGTACATGTTGTCTGCCGTTACTGGGCTCATATCTCAAGCTATTATTTGTAATGTTGCTATAACCCAGTTCATATTTCAAGTACAACCTTCCTTGATATGTATAGTGTTGATAATATGTATATAGAACTTGATAACAGATACTCTCCTAATTGGTAGGTCTCAAAAGTTATGAGCATCGAAACTTCTAACTAAGTTTTTCAGAGTACATATTGTACTACTTTTAGTATTATATATTGGTATTTTAAAGTTAGTGTTCCTGTATTTTATTTCATATTTGTTCTTTTTTTCAGGTCTCATCCTAGGATCTTTACCCCTAGTCATACTACTGAAGTAGCCAAAGAATATATATCTAAGATGGCTCTAATGACCTGGTGACTGGGCAAGTACTTCTAGTTGAGTATGACCTTGCTATATCTTGTCCGTTTTAAACATATCCCAAGTTGCTTACCAACTTTACTCTATATAAGGAAATCTCATTCAATTTAGTAGTAGTATGGGTGCCAGAGATGTTTCAAATCTGGTAAGGCCAATTCTTTATCACAGGTCTCTTTGTGTTCACCACATTTCTCACCACTTTTAATTCTAGTTGCCATCTAGTTATTCTCCCAAACAAAATTCTCAATGTTGCTTTAGAGATTGTCGGTACTATCTTGCCAATTATGGATTTACATGCACAATCTTTGTATAATAGAACTTTCTGTAATGACCCCTATTACGCATAGTGCCAACTACTCCACAATGAACCTCTTTCTGGAAATTCCTAATCCAGACCTGTATTCACTTGAACTTCCCACAGCAGATACTTCCAAATATTTATAAATAGATATACCTACTAGGACTTGAACCCAAAACTCACTTGTAGAGAGTTTGGTGTTTAGACCACTAAATCACAGGATTCTAATCTAATATTGGAATTTTATATA